CATTTGGGGCTCTTTTACTGAGATTGCCTGGCTTAAAAAACATTTGCGAACAGGTATTGCAAGTTCTGTGTTAAGCCCTTAACTCTAAACGTATCGGCGAACCCACAACTCTAAACCTCGAAGGCTTCCCGGCCAAATCCCCAAAAATGCTGAACCCAGTGTCAACCATCGGGACGCCGCCCAGTCGTGGCTCAAGAAAGAATCATAGGACCTGGGGCTCCCGGGCTGCAGGGCTTTAAGTATGGCACTTTTGAGCTGCTCTAGGGCTGAAGATTGGGGGATTGGAATTTCGGTGCATGCATGGTAGTTGTTCAAAATACCTGTCTCCAAAACAACCGTGAGGGAGGTTCCCCTTCAATCTCCCCAGAGAAGTCTCTCCCTAATGGCTGAAACTTAAAACGACAGGCACAGACACCAGCTTCCTGGTCTTCTGCTTTTCTCACAGTGCTTGCATTTCGTTCCCTCCCTGCTGCTCGTTGGATCTCTGCCGGGTCTCGTTTGGTGATTTTGAATTAGTCTTGAGGTTCGAATGCCTGCCAATATCATGAGAGCTACATTTTGAACATCTTCCCTTTTGCTTGGATGTTGTTGCCTTCGTGGCTGGAGTTTTTTGCCCCTTCCCTTGCCTCGTGTTCCTCCCCTCTTGTTTCTCTTCTCGGTGTCCTCTTGCCTTTCACCCATTATTTTTTTCGCCAGCCGGGTGCATGTGAGTTGTTTCGGCCCTGTTGCCCACAGGAGCGGAGCTGGGCGTCCATTAAGGCCTGTACCCCGCGGAAGGGATGCCTCACTTCCAGAACCATGTCTCTAAGTAGGGGGACCCCAATATAGACTCCAAAACCACTCTAATCCTTGTAATAAGGACTCCAGAAACAGGTACCCCTTTTCTGGGACGCTCCCAAATATATCTGCAGCATCAATAGCTAAATTGAAGGAGACCCCAAGTAAACTCCAACCACACTTGACCCTATTTCAAGCCAACCACAGCGGAAGTTTAAATAAGAGTTGTACTGAGAGGCTGCATAAGGCACATGGGAACACGTACGGTTGCATAAGTTCCCTACATGGTAACCTCCCTCCTTGAGCTTCCTTAGACCAGGAACTTTGTGGGCCGGCCGAGCTGGTACAGCTTGGGATCCACGTTGAACATACCTGGCTCCGTGGGTTTTAAGATCCTTGTGAGCCTTCATAAGTCAATTGTTTGCGGCTTCGCATGGCATCCTCCACGTTTTTGCGAAAGGCTCTATAGAGTCGTATTGTTGCAGTAGAGCTTGTGATACGAGTCTTGTTGATTGAAGTAACCGTTCCAGTGTTTGTTGGCGATCTTTTGTTTCTTGAAGACATACAGGATTCTAATGCAGAATATCCAGATGTCTACAGAAAACAAGAAATATGGGAGTTTCCCTTAGTAGGGGGACCCCAAAATGCACCCAAAACCAGAACAGTCCTTATAGCGACCCCAAAAAGGTACCCTCACTTTTGGGAAACCCCCCTTATGTCCCCAGGTCAGGCATGGAGACGTGACCCAGGCAAAAACTGAAAAGAATCCATGACGCTGTGCATCCTGCTTCAGAATTCAAATTTTGAGAGCGTGGAGTGTCATGATTGGTACTCGTGCCAATACTAGTACTAGTAGCACTGTGGATGGAGAAAATCTGGCACATTACAGACTTATACTCCACTATGTTGCGGATCCGAAGTGGTGCAAGCTTTCCTCCATCCCAAGTAGGAGTCTGCGGACCAGGAATAGTAGTAGGTACCTATGTACCTCCTGCTGCTGCTGCTGCTGATGCCACTCCCACCTACATCGAAGGACATCGCTCGTGGTCTTTTGTAAGAAGCCCTATGGAAGGATTCCCAATCCTTTCTAAGCTTGCTTACTAGGACCAGAAATAGAATTGATGGGTGCTGGCGTTCAAGCAGGGCACCTTGATCTGGTGATCTCCAGTATTGGCCCCAGCCAGAGAGGGCCACATGCAACGGGACACCCCGAATCAGCCCCGGCCGCACCTGAAGGGAGTGGGATACTGGGATTATAATGGGATATTGGGTTATGGACAATTTTGAAGTTGCGTAGCAAGGCTTCTCGGGGTGGCACTCCTCCAGTCAGAGCCAAGATGTAAAAAAACAAAGCTCAACGCTTACACCCCAGCGATTTAGGGTTTAGTGCTTTAGGGTTTTAGGTTTTAGAAGCTTCCTGAAACATCAAAATCCAAATACTGAAGCCCGAGGCCCTCAAAACCAATAAGCAAAAACCCGATGCCCGCTCCTGAGTATTGAGAGATCTCTGGCGGACAGACGACGGCTCTGAGGCCTGCGGGCTCGAGTGATTTTCGCAGAAATACAGCCTGCATGAACCATACTTTTGTATTTCCACAGCCGCTCTGCCAGAGCCAGCATGAACGGCAATAGTAACAATATCACGGATCATAGCAAGAGCCAGGATACCCATGCTGTATGCCATCATGAGAGTCGCATCTGAACATGGTGGGAATGAAGCAATGCACAGGTGCAATAGCAACAAGGCATGAACATTATACCGCTGGCCATCGTTCTCTTCGTCGTTGTTGCATCTCCGTGGTAGTGGTGCTAGTGGTCGTCGCAGTAATGCCAGGGTAGCAGCAGTGGTCGTTGTCGTAGTATCTGTACTAGTACTAGCACTAGTAGTAGTAGTAGTAGTAGTAGTGGTAGTAGTAGCAGCAGTAGTAGTAGTAGCAGTAGTAGTAGTAGTAGTAGCAGTAGGCGCCTCCCTCCCCCTAGGGCCTACACTTTACTTAAAATGGGCTACAATGGGAAAGGGATGGGGGGGTGTAGTTCCGTGCTGAGA